ATGCTGTTCTTAAAGCCTTTGTGTCTTCAATTGTGTGTAATTCATCCATCAGTCAGGAGATAGCTTGTGAGATCTCTGGTTTCAAAGATGCTAATGTCTGATTTCTCAACTCGGCTCCGTATTTTTGTTTAACAAGCTGAGGGAGATGAGGATGAATAAGTTGAAGCCATAATACCACGATAACGTTCTCAAGTGTTGGTGTGAGGTCTTCATCTTGATCAATATCAATACCATGATGGGTGATGCCAGCACGAGTCGTAAGCAAATTGTCCTCGATGAAAGCCATCAAACATTGGTAGAGGTCCTCATAACGCTCATCAGGCTGCATCTTGATATCAACGAGACGAAGGAAATTTGCACCTGTAGATCGGAATCCATAATGGAGCCGGATCTTTTGCCAAATATCTTGAACAGAAAAGGAATTACGGATAATTGAATTCCTGCTGATGACAGTACAGTAGTTGGCGATCTGGCCTAACATGAGTTCAAGGTGTATGTTTTTCTGCTCAGCTGTTTTCCGCTGATTTTCACGCACATCCTCACCATCATAAAAAAATGACACCATTCCATTTGACGTCATGTCTAGTTTTATGGCACTGACAAGGTTGGAGAAAGACGACACTGGTATTTTGATAAATATATACCTCCCCTAGTTTTCGTTCATGATAATGAATATCTCGATGTGTAAAACAGAATTTGACGCTTTTTCAACACAACATAAAATGACTGCTTTTACCATGTAAATCATGTCTTGAATAGATAAACAATTAGATAGTTAACCGTGTATCTTAATTGGACAAGACATGCACCTGTTTGGCATCATTTTTACATGATCAAATATGCCCCAAAATAGCAAAACAAACAAAATTAAACTCAATATTGAACAGATATTATTTCTCTTCATCTTGTTCTTCTATGCATATCAGGATAATCCTATGAGGTTCGACCAATGGGGACATGGCACAGTTCATATTTATTATATTTTTTACAATTTTTGGAGATATAAAGTAAAGAGCTTTATATCCTGTAATCACAATATTTAAACAGTGTGAATACATTGATTATATATTTCAACAAAAATATTATCCATTTTGTTACAGAAATACCTTCAGTTATAGTTATAAATGAAAATTAACCTGTTCATAATGAAATTACAATATTGACTCTTACATTCCAAAGAAATACATACATGTTACATTTTATCTTCTAACACTTGTCTAAAGGAAAAAAACATCATATACTACACTATAAACTTCAATTTCTTATGTAAACAATGTTCAAACAAAGGTTCATACATTTTGTGGCCAAAATCCATGCATGATATCATTGAACATTGATAACAGTCGACAGCAGGACACAATGATCATGTGTACTCTCATTCAAGGACCTTCACCTAAAAAAAATTACCAAGTATGTTCAACAATGTTGATGTATGACATCACTACGCGTGACAAAATGGCATGTTCACTGACAACAGTATGGGGGATTTTAAGAGGAGACTATCGTTGATTCAGGGATCATATATATACATAAATGTGACATGTAAGTAATCAGAAACATTCTGACAATCAGTGTACTGTTATTTGTTATATTTTTCATTCAAACTAAGAGAAATAGTCAAAAAAATTGATAAATACTGCTGTTATGCATGATTTTGCATCAGTCATGGTGTTACACAGGACAGAACCTTTGACAGTTTCTGTTGAATTTATCAAATCATTGCAATGTACTTATTTGTAATTCCCAAGTTCATCTTACGATTCTCTTCCCATGCACATTCTGAAAATGTTGAGCCAATGTATGCAATGAATAGACGAATGGATAGCTCAATAGGGGAAAATGCTACCCTGTGTAAAATCTGAATTTTGCTTTGCTTACATTTCAAACAAGTGCAGCTTTCCAAGCACAGCATTCGTTTTTATGCCTTATTTATTTTGCTTGATTTCATCTAGATACTTTGTATTGGTGACAAAGACCATTAGTCATTGATTCTAAAATGTATGAGGAATTCAAGGATACATGTTTCACAGCTGAGTTTGAAATATACGTGACATTACAGGCGTCTCATAACCGGCACATGTGAAACGTGACTTTGTAAACACAGTCAAAAATAGTTCACTTTGGCGTTCATGTTTGCGTATTTAACGAATCATCCTAAATGATTCTAGGGATATCGGCGGCGTTTTAGAATGGTCATTGGTGATTAGATAAAAGACAGATACCCGTGATCACTAATATGCTATTTTTTAAATTCATGTACCCGAATAAATTTAGATTTCAGTAAATGCTGTAAATAACGCTGTGAATGGTGATTTAGTAATGTGTAAAAAATGGCGATATTTACTATGTACCAAATTTTAAGAGATCATTTTTAATAATTTGGCTTTGCCTAAAATGACAATGGATGATAACAAAGAACAGGAAATTTCCCACAGAATTCAATACTTTCAGTCAGGTTAGCTAAAAATTGGAGAGATTAAGAAAATGATGAAGTTAAGACAACCAGATGGATGATGGACATATTCCGAAAAATAAGCTCACCTGACAACACACATGCTAGCTCACACGACAGTGCAACAGGTGACAGTGCCACTCTTATGCCAGGTCATATGCTATGTCACTCTTAGGTTGTATACATTATCTCCGGCTAATGCCACTGCTTACATATTCAGGATGCTGGCAGGTGAAGGACCATTAACTTAAAAGATGTTAACAGGCTTAATGTTACACATACAAATCCTAAAAAGCAGGAAATATTTTCCTTCAAGCTACCTTTATATACACATGTGCATTAATTGAGCACCACCTGGTTAAAAATCCAATTCCGAAAAATAAGGACAAACCCTGATCTGAAACCAATTCACTTTTGGGTTGAGCTTGGCTGCAAATTGAGCGCTAGACACCCTCCAATTCAAAACCTGAATGAACTGATGCAGGCACTGCAATATGTTTCTTTGTTTGTTTCATGTTGTTTAACACCGCACTCAGAAATATTCAAGCTTTATGACGGCGGACTATAAATAATAAAGTCTGGACCAGACCTGACCACCCAATCCCATTAGTTGCCTCTTACGACAAGCATAGTCGCCTTTTATGGCAAACATGGGTTGGTGAAGACCTATTCTACCCCGGATCTCCAAGGGTCCGCTGCAATAGGAATGGCAGGGGATCCATATGTTAAAAAACAGATGTCTCATCAGGAGGAGATGCCCCGCAAAGCCATATTCACTGCACTATGTGACAGTCCAATTTGTGATTTGTTCAGTGTGCAGATACGTTGCTGCGCTGCTGAAATGAACGTTTTTAGATGTCTTTGCATAATGCCAATATATCGGTACCGATTGCTAGCATCAACATCATTATATGCATGTTTGCATTGTAGAAAATTCCCCAAAATTTCATTGCAAAGTTACCAGACCAGATAAAATGTTGCCAGTCCAGAACTTTCTTGATTAATGAACAAAAGTAACAAAAGGGTAAAAAGAGAATAATAATAAACTGGTGGATTGTCAACTTCGTAACTATAACTCCTGTCCATAGGGTGTCCAACCTTTCGATATTCAAGAGCTATATTGTCATAAAACGGGTCTTGCATCGCGAAATCCATCAAATCACGTGAGCACCTTGATTAAAAACATGAAAAGATAAGGAAAATATCTGCTAACAACGAGTTGGCGGTGCACATACTTCGCAAATCCTGCAATTGCCTGAAATCTGCATGACACTATACAAACCAGATTTCGATTTAGGTGCGGGATTTTGATTGGACTATGCATAGACTCGTTAGTTCAGCCAAAATGTAACTCCATAATACCAGCCTAGTTCGGCAAGGGTGGAAACTGGACTTATATAGTCAGTTAACTCACTTGCCTCGGGAAGATGATTTAGTTGGATTTAGAAAACACAAAATATCAAGCTTCAAGCTACCTTACTGAGAATTTACTTGTAAACATTTTTTTAACTGATTAGTGTCATTTCTTTTAAAATAAATAGAAATGCTGTTACAAAGTCATGTAGATGTATGAATGAGTGACAGCACAGGGTTTCAGATTGGTACCTGTTATAGGACACCAACATGTGTCCATCTTCCCGAGGCAAGAGAGTTAACTGACTTTAAAAGTCCAGTTTCCACCCTCGCCGAACCTAGGCTGGAATTCCTGGGCTCGATCGAAGCGCCACCAGTGGCTGTTACGAGTTATATCCTTTCTATGCTTCTCCTATTGACCAATCAGATTCAACCTCTCGTATCACTTGCATTTGCTTCAAACAAAACGGTGGCGCCCAGTCAAGACGATCTGATCGATAATCAAGATCTATATTGTGATAAAACGAGTCTTACTTCGCGAAGTGCATCATATCACGTGATTAAAAACAGGAAAAGATTTAGAAAATATCTGTTGACAACGAGTTAGCTGTGCACATGCTTTGCAAATCCTGCAGTCGACCGAAATCTGCATGACACTATACAAACCAGATTTCGATTTCAGTGCGCGATTTTGATTGGACTATGCATAGACTTGTTAGTCCAGCCAAAATGTAACTCCATAATACCAGCCTAGTTTGAAAAGGATGGAAACTGAACTTATATAGTCAGTTAACTCACTTGCCTCGGGAAGATGACATGTGTCAGAATGTGTCAAAGATTCTTTTCAAAATCAGTAATCACATAGAGGAATACACACAACAAAAATGGATAAAAAATAATGAATTGTTTTAAGAATGTCCACATGCCATTTATCTCTAACAACATCTATGCAGTGCTTTATTATGTATGTACTCCTGAGAAGACAATTTGCAATAAAACTTATTTTGTGGATAATTCATTAACCAATTGTAACTCTCAAACATTACGATATACTTAAATGTATAAATTAAATTTACAATTAAAGTGTGATGATTACCCAAACACAGTGTCCCTTGAGCTTATCAGTAGCATCATTTATATGGTGGGATCAACCTTTCCTACATTTAATAATGTTTAACATCAGTACAAACCATACCTGTACTGGCTGCGTCAGATATTATAGCCACTAACTTTTTGCCTTCCATGAACATATTTCTCTGAAAGGAAAAGAAATCTATATGAAACATGCAAAATATGTGAAATTTGAAATCCTGTGTTCCCTGTGGCCTGTTCTTAAACTTCACAATGACTCTCATATCTGTCCCTAAAAACTAACTTGTGTACACACAGAACTAATTGCAATACTATCATTTAGAAACAATTTAAATAGTGCCAATGCACTGTAGCTCACAAGGTACAATCAATTTGAACTCAATGTTATCTTTGTGGCTGCAAACAGGCTGAGTAATGGGAAGTGTCTGATGAGAGGGCAGTATGATCTAAATGTAAGTAACTTTTACATGTTTCAAACACCATCACCTCATATGGTAGATCGTATGGTGGCAGCATCAACAAAAGCCAAAGTTTGTTGCAGATGGTGGTGAACAAAAGTAAGTCATAATCATTATCTGCCCCAAACTTGTTCACTGTGATATTCTTAATTTAAATAATTTGTAGTAGGTGCCTAATCTGTTTTCAATGCCACATCCTGAGCAAACTCCCAATAGCCACGGAGAGGATTTGTCCATCCCTCGTCCCTTTGTCCAAACTCCCAAACTATCAAAAGGCATCAGTTCACCATTAGGATCAGAAATATGATAAGATTTTCAAGATCTGCCCTTGAAATGACATCTGGCATGGATTAACAATGTCCATTTAAATACCCCAACAGACTGAGTTACATAATAAAAGAGTCAACCTATTTTCATTGTTTTGTTAATTTATCAATAATTATATACATTTTGATGCTATTTTTGGAACAAGTTTCTGTGTTTGAAATAAAATGTATAACGATGAACATTCAAGGGTATGTTTTATGATCATCCTAGTTCACTGGGTTTATTTGCTGTGCCAGCTTCACTTGGACTGGTTCGCGGATCCTTCCTTTCATGTCGCTGCTCTCCCTTCCAGAAAAGAACGGGAACAAGTCTAGCTAGACAAGACTAAGCTACTCTGTCCAAATAGCATGGCTAAGTCTAGCAGGCAAAATGCAAGAGCTCAGGGAACCATTATTTGCTTTTAAGTCTGGGCGGGATGATTATTTTCCTCTCTGCAGTCAGTCAAAGTGTGTCTTTGATTAGTTATGAAAAAACAACGAACAAGGCCAGTTTTCATGGGCGAATATATAAATTCTGTAGCAGTTTAACCAGTCCTGTGGACCCACCGACTCATTACCGGCCCTGGCTCTACTTTACTGCGCAAAACCAGTAAGTCCTGGTAACGGAAACAATGTTGCTTGTTTCTGAGCAGATTTTTATTCCAGACGCTAAGCATCAGACGATGCACAAACAAATAAGCCCTGACATAAGCTCACTTGATTTTCAGTCAGGTAAGCAACAAATGGATGAATAATGTCCATAAATTTTAATAAGCATTAAAAGTTTGGGAGCTATTTCAGAAACACCAATGCTGGTAATGTTTTAGATTCTGAGAGATTGTGGTCACAGATGTCCTTAAAATATAAAAGCATAACATGGACAGATGATAGGTGTTTCACCTTTGGTTAAGGTGAGCAATAATAACACAGAGAACAAGGTTGATTTTGTACACATTGCCAATATATTTTACAACTTAATTATTATGAAAAGTATTAAACTTCCATGTGACTCCATTGTCTTCTTTCAAAATGTTGTTTGTACTACCTCTTTCACATTGAGACTCTCGAGGAAAGAATCCGAGTCATGGCCTCTTTGTTCATACTGTGGCACGTCTCTCTTTGTCCGTTTTACAACACGACCCTTGCGTCCAGTCATCTCAGCCACATTATCAGGGCCTCCGAGACGGTCAATAATCTCATCCAAAGGGCTGAAACAAAAGAATCAATTCATATTTGTTAGAGTGAGTGAATTAGTGAGTGAGTTTGGTTTAACGCCGCTTTTAACAGTATTCCAGTTATATCACGGCGTGTCGGCTTAAAGGGGCACTGATCTAAAGCAATTCCCCGGGACTGGTTGTTGCCTTCATTATTGTTATTTCCCGTGAGTAACCGGATGATACAGTAGAAATCTAGACTAGTTCGCTACCTGTGCTGCGCAATTCGTAAGAGCATTTGTCACTTTTATTGATAGTATAAAGGCGTATGATCACATTGATCAACAAAATGAAATACAGTTTTGGAAATAATAAGGAAATTATAGGTATCTTTGTGGGTAGCATGAAGTTTTGATAAGTCACTTGCTTGGTAATTGTGCAATTTTCGTTTACACTATTTTGACTTGCAACACAAAGTAAATATTTCACCTGAGCATTGCCTATTTTAAGGTGTTTATATTTTTACAGTCAAAATGTGCAAAATTTTCACTTAGGAAATTTATTAAACGCCTAAATATTCAGTTATTTTACAAATTGACTGAAAAATATGTCCATCTGTATTATTATGACAACGAATTCCAAACAATTTTATGTTTAATATCATCACCAAGAGACTGAAAATGTTACGATGAAAAGTATATTTCTAATATTGTTTGGCTTCAATCCTACATAATAATCTATTGTGATGTTTTTAGGCCCTTTTGATCGTCTTATTCATTTTTAGTCAATCTGTTAAAGAAATGGACAGATTTTTTTATAAATTGGCTGAGAGAATCACATTTTACAAATTGACTGTAATATATACATGCTTACAAAGGAAAAGACTTGTGAAAACAACATCTGTCACGCATCGAAGAATTTCCCAACCAAGACGTAGAGGAACAAAAATGAATCTGTTCAATGCTACAGTAAATGAATAAAATCAAAATGCAATTATCATAATTACAACCTACCAAATTTATGTGTATAATTTTAGGCAGCTACCTTGTTCGAGGAATATCCACTCAAAGGAACAATATCCCACCTTAAACTTATTCCATGTCACGTGTCTTTGTAACAATCAAATATTTTATAATGTATATATCGTTTTGGGACATTTTAACCCGTGTTCATTTCTCAACTGATCACTTAAATTGTTTCAGGTATTTCACATTGATGTCAAGTCTCAAAGGTCCTCTGAGAAAGCCCACGTGACAACTATTTTCATAACATCCACGGTTCCTAAAACAAATCTATTGAGTTAGATAACAATGAGCAATCAATCAACGTATTATCGGTTAACCCTTTGAACAAAGTATGTTGTTTTTACATCGGCACTTCACACCATCACTGGACAAAATATCATCCATTCCAAACAATCCAAAACTTGGAAATACCACCATTCCAATTGGAAATATGACCATTCCAAAATTTGTCAAGGTCATATTTCCAAGCTTGGATTTGTTCGGATATGTTTGGATACAACATGTCATAATCATATCTGTTAAACGTTATACAACTTTTGATCTTATGTGAGATTAGTAATGACATGAAAGTAAATAATTAAGAGTATTTTGGCACTATTTACCACGAAAAGACCAAATCATGAGCAAATTTAACTAAAAGAATTTCTGTCATTTAAAGTGGCTACTCTTTATATTCAATTTCTTATCTTCCTTGTCTATAATCATATGACATTGACTATGAACTTTGAACAATTAAACAAATATTTTGTTTTCCCATACCGACTTACGGTTGTCATAGAACAAAGACCGTTTCGAGAATAGAGGGCCTCATTATTATAATTTGAACTAATATACATATGTACATAATAGTACAAGGTATAAATGAATTTTGATAAGTGTTTGTACAAGAATATGAACTTCGAATTATCTCGGAATTATGCGCAACAAATAGGGCTGGAAATTTTATAATTGGTCTGGAACTATCTGACGGTAATTCAAAACAGGGAACAAGACTTCGTCAAATGAATCATTGAGCCAGGAATGCAACGATTTTAATGCTGACAAAATGAATAAACATATCTGGAACAGAGATAGACTGTTCATGTGGACAATTATATGCTACGTCTATTGCCAATGAAGTTTATCACCCCATGTTATAGCATTTGTTTCATATAAAAGATAGAAGCAAAATAAATGGGACAATTAGTTGTTATGAATTAGCTTTACCTCTGTGACATATTACGCAACTAAAGGTGAATATGTTTTTCAAATAATCAATTACAGTAATTAACCTAGTGTCCTTATTTATACACAATTTAATTACGTATTGGGGTACAATATATAATACACATATACACGGAATGATTTCTTATTTTGTCAATTTAATCATAACCCAAATCATACAAATCGAACATGTGAAAATAAAAGTAGTGACTAACTTTATGATCAAGGGTATAAGTACTCAATTGTATCTATTAATCCTAATAGTATAACAATAAATCCTGTGTATTTACTGAGCATATTTAGATACAACCGGATCTACGACCGCAGTCATATAATCAATCAAGGAAAGTATATTACGAGCTCGTAGATTTAATTACAAATGTGCTATCACTAAAACAAAATTTCCCGTTATCCACGTAAGCCTAAACCTGAGAGAAATAAAGTTCTGTTCTGTTGTGAAGACACCGTCATGATTAGTTGGCGCCAGTCTAGACTGTCCAATCAACGTAAATATACAAACCGTGATGTTACTAGACCAGTTGATGACACCTGTCAAACTCAAAGTGCCCCTGGTCCTCCACCCACCATGTGTAATACTTTAGCGCACTTGATTGTTTTATTTGCAGTTATATCACTGTTAGGCTGAGTGATGAGAGAATACATTTTGCTGTTTTTGTTAACGATCGTTTCCATTTTCAACGTGGTAACCTTATAAGTGACTAACTTTTTTATCATGATGAAATGAAACATATTAAAATAATCAGAAGGACTGACGATCGCATTTTTCGCACAAATGTCATGCTCGCATTAATTTCATGATTTACTGAAGATAGATTTGAACATTTCTGAGCAACGATCATGTTTGGGTAAGGGAAGTAATCTTGTCTCCGCTTGCAGTTGGATTCAATCGGGCGAGCAGTTCCGAGATCGCAGCTTGACTGTTCGGTACGGCCGAAAGGCGGCATCAATGTTGTTCACGCTCCGCTGTTCACTGGGCCTCATTTGTATTCTGCTTATGAGCCGGGATGCGCATGAAACACGGGTGTCAAAACGAATATATTTACCAATTATATGTACGGTCAATTAGCAGGTTCAAGAGACAATACCCTGGTTCTACCACCTTTAGGTGTAATTACGTTCATGCCCCTGGTTCACGGTTCGTCTGATCTTCCGTCATAAAACCACGATGTTTATTTACCTGGAGCCTCAGACGCCGACTTCCTGTGTACTTGTACGTACATGGCAATAAATGGTTTGACAGTTGTTTGACGGAATCAGTCAATAATTAATGACCCAGTGATGTAATTAAAATTTGTAAATTCACAACTGCTATTTTGATTTTTCTATTGTTCAACTGTATTTTCGATCAGTTTCATATGTATAAAAAATGTTCTCTAGTATTTATAAACCAAACCTAAAAACATTATATAAGAACAATTGTGTTTTTACAACGTAAGTTTTCTATTAAAAAAACCATGCAAGTAAGATTTCAGCCGTAATATTACTTCAGTTACTCCACAGATTACACATCTTATATGCTGCAAACGCAGCGAATGTAATGCTACTACGTCACAGCTGCCTTGGTAATTAAGGGCTGGAATGTTTTTGTGAAGGCAGTTAGAGCAGACGAATTCCCCCCCTAGCTGTATAATGACGGTCGCTAACCATATGTATGTATTTTTCGTGTTTTTGGCTTGATTTGATTGTCCTTTGGTGAAAACAAATGTTCAATTGTGAAAGCAAACCCTTTTCCCCTGAACGTTAAAAGACAGGAGACTTTGTTTTTGTCTGAAATATCAACGTTGAAGTCGTTCATATATTCGGAAATCCATATTATGGTAAATATTTATTAAATGCATGTCCTGTTTCATCTTCCCGAGGCAAGAGAGTTAACTGACTTTAAAAGTCCAGTTTCCACCCTTGCCGAACTAGGCTGGAATTCCTGGGCTCGATCGTAGCGCCACCAGTGGCTATTATGAGTTATCAAACAATAGTTATCATTGTGAATAATTCTAAGAATACCACCTCTATCACATCAGTGCCATAAATTCCTGTTTATGCTGAGAACCACACTTTAAATTTTTAAAAATTTTCAACAGACGTCCACTACACTGCCAACATATCCATAGTTGTGAGGGAAACCCTATCCCTTGCCAGAGGCGCCACTGCGCATGCGCAAGGCGGGAATCTAGTCACTTCTTTCAACCCATACTCTCATCAACTAGATGCAGATATTTGGGGAGGTGGGAGGGATTAATTCCTGATGTGATAGAGGTGGTATTCTTAGAATTATTCACAATGATAACTATTGTTTGATAATTCTTGTGAATACCTCACCTCTATCATTTCAGTGCCAGTATACACCAGATGGACCGGCGGATTCTGGTATCTAGCATCCCATAGATATTTGGCTAGTGAAGTGGTAAAACCAAGGATTATATGCCAAAAGGGGTCTTAAACGGATGTGTCTAATAGTCTACTTACAAGACTTAGACGTATAAAATTTTCAAGGCGTCATGTGAAGGGTATATGTATATTCCCTTGTGATACTTAGACTTTTTAGTGACGTCGTTTCCTGTGATGACGTCATTTGTGACGTCACTTCCGGTGATGACGTCATCTGTGACGTCACTTCCGGTGTCACTATTCTCCCGTATCACTTATGACGTGGTTTACCGTTATGCCCTTTTGGATAGTGATATTTAACGTATCTTAACGTTTCTCCGGTGTGATGACTCCTATGACGTCACTTCCGGTGGTAGTACATTAACCTTCCTATCATGTAGATTACCCTATATCACTTAATCCTTCGATCTCTGATTTCAG